GAGATGATATTAGATTGTGGAATGTCATCTTATAGTGGATGGACTTGTGTTTGCTACTTACTTTTTTTGAATGAAAACAAGGATTTCAAATTGCCAAGCTGAGCCCCATATGTCAATTTCTAGTGATTAGCTCCTTTGTAACACCTGTCTGTGCGGGTAGAATCAAAAAGTAGACTTACTTTTGAAAGTGGACATTTATTTTGGACAAACTAAAAAGATTTGTGGCACTTACTTTGATACAGAGGGAACAATTCCAAAAATACACTCATACTATCACTTAAAATTTTGAATTATATCTACTGGTTACTCATCTTCATTCTGCTGATTCCATTACTCATTTCTCAACCTAAATCTTATTTTATTTTCTAGACCTTCTCCATTTCAAAAATTGATCGTCTTGAACTAAAGTTGGTGCAGATTGTGCGGTCGCTTGGTAGTTGAACTCCCAAATTGCATAAAATTATGGCGCTAGATGGCGTAATTACTTTACCTCATCGGAGAACTCAACAAACAATGTTTTATTCAACTTCATCTAGAAAGAATTACACACAGTCATACTTGTCAAAGACCTTCCAGCCTAGTGTTAAAGGCTTGGGCATGGCATAGTCATGAACCCAAGTTCGAGCTCTGGGAGGGGAGTGTTGGCGACATTTAAGTGGGGCCATGTTTAGCCTCCAAATTTGCCGGGATTAGTCGGGCTTTGGCCCGGACACCCTTACAAAAAGAATTACACAATCGGAAATGAATTAGGCAACTTCTCCACGGTAATCAGGGGACACTGCTTCCTATTAACCGCCTTTGCCCTCTTTGCTTTCCTCTATCTGTATTTTGCCATTACTTCCAGAATCATAAGGTCAATTGCGATGCAAGAAATGGAGAAAATTGTGTGGATCCTAAATCGTCCACTGGAAAGGCGGAAACCTAAACAGTAAACACCAATCTGACGGAGTTTGACGACTCTCGGTTATGGACCGAGGCTGCATCCACCATGAATTACCAATCTTATGTGATTGATCCAGGAATCGCGGCGTCCACATTCAATGACACAATCGGCATTGAACTGAACCACCCATTAATGGTGTGATTGATCATCTTATTCCGATGAGTATTAATCATCAACATGGTTAGAGTTATCGTACACTCTAACCATGTCGATGATTTAATACTTATTGGAATAAGATGATCGATCATACCATTAATGAGCGGTAACATTGACCATGTCGTCGATTTAATACTCACCGGAATAAGATATCGATCACACCATTAGTCAATGTTCAATTTAATGCCGATTGTATCACTGAATGTGGACGCCACGATTCCTGGATCAATCGCCTGAAAGTGGTAATCCATGGTGGATGTAGCCTCTGTCCATAACCGGGAGTCGTCAAACTCAGATAGATTGGCATTTAGGTTTCTGGTGGACGATTGTCGATTTAGGATCCACATAATTCTTTTCATTTCTTGCATCATGATTGATCTTATGATTCTAGAAATGATGATAATTTGCTACAACTTGTCTATTAAGAAAATAAGTTAGGATTTGTAGCCTCATCATGATCCGTGTGTACACAAGCTAAGCCCTATATAAGCGTTTGGTATGCAAACATGATTGGATAGGACTAGACAAGACAAGTTTTCTGTCTAACGTTTGGTACGACTAGGGCTGGATAGGAAAATGACTAGACAAGTTGCCTATAAAATTTGTTTGATAATTTTACACACCATATAATAGTTGTAAATGACAGAAATTAAGTAAATATATAACTAATCTAATTTATAAGTTTTTTAACGCAAATTTCATACACATAGATATATAATAGAACCAAATTTGATGACAAATTTGATATAATTGATGGTAGTTTAAAAAAACCCGATTCATACAAAGAAAAAACTATGCTTTATCTGGTTTGGAAGATCCTTATGAATTAGCAGAGGCACTATGGAGGTTGTTGTAGCGGATGGTGGTGGAGTGTTAACGCCAATGTGAGAACCTGAATAGAGATATACCAGTTAAGCTTTAGGCATAATGGTGCGGGAATTTTATTCATGTATGCACCAAGGCATTTTTAACGACTTCTCCATGGCGGTAGTTCGTAGGCGTCCAATCCGCTTGACAATCCAGGCCATCAATGCCTACTACCATTCAACCTTACTTCAAATTCCGGGTATGATTTGCGGTGTAGCCGTAATTCCAGGCGTTGGGGATTTAGAGGAGCGGAGTCCTGTCATAAGAGGGGTTCTCCGCCGGAATAGGGACTAGTGGTGGACATCTCACGACATCATGAGAAATGAATTTCATCACGACACAACCCTTCTGGATGATGTTTGTGAAGACCAGTTTGAAGCCATCCAAGCACTATACATACGTGGACCCCGTAGTAGGCAGTGTACTTTTCTGTATCCAGAACGGGCTGCCTCTTGATATCGGCCACATTATAAACCTGGAGATCTTGGATGCCGGTACCGTTGCCGACATGGGAGTACTTCCCTTGCTTGAACACCCATTGTTGTGTGTTCCACTGCAGGGACTAGAGTCTGTTGCATGAGACTTCGACCATCGCACCTACCTGACACAAATGTCTTATGCAACAGACTGTGACTGTGGAGTATGTGAAGATGGTGGAGGGTTTTGGTTAGCAGTGGTGGTGGAGGGTTTTGGTTAGCAGTTGTGGTAGAGGTAGTTGTGGCCGATGTGGTGGTAGTCGATGGTAGTAGTGGTGGTGGTTGGTTATGGTAGAGGTGGAGGTGGCTGACGGTGGTAGTGGTGGCGATGATGGGCGGTGGTGGCCGGTAGCCAACGGTGGTTGTGGAGGTGGTGAAGGAGGTTGTTGTAGTGAAGGAGGACCAAATGGGATTATACCAAATGGAAGTAGATTAGCAATTCTTTTAGTTTCTGTCTCATCCTTGTCCCATCTTGTTCCACCTATTTTGGTGGAACAAAAAAGAGCCTTCTTTGTCCCACCCTATCTGGCTATCCAAGTCCTTGTCCCTGTTCTTGTCCCATATCATGTCAAACATGGAACAGTGAGTTTTTGCCCTGTTCTATGTCCCGCTAAAGGTGGGACAATGAGTTTTTTTTTTCTATTCTATCCAGTCCCATGTACCAAACTCAGCCTAGAGGTGAATTCATAGTGATTAGCTTCTCCATGATACCTGCTCGGTGCTGGTATTGTTAGTAATCAACTTGACCTGATTGTTTACATATAGATGGTGCATGCCTGTATGTATGTAGAGGCATATGAAGCATGATAAAACTTCTACTGGACCCTAATCATTGCATGTATAGCCCTGCACATTGGCTTCATTATCTGTTTTTTCTGCCTTTTGGAAGTCTAGAATGAAGGTGTACATAGTTTACTTATGTGTTCATCATTTCCTGATGTCAAGTGTTTATTTGAGTTTTCAGATAGTTCCATTCTATTACCGGATGAGGATATTTTTTGAAGTTGCACTACCAGATATGGTTGCAAGTCTATGACACAGGAAAAGGAGTGTTCCATCTTACTCTCACCCTCTAGATTATAACCATCTCTTTAGGTTTAGTCCCTCATGTCTCAAAAGGGTTATTGGAAATGGCACATCTAAAAGGATTTATCATTCATGGGTACATCCTTGATATACCCTCTTTTCACCCCAAACAATTCAATAATTTGCATGGTACTTGAGTGGCCTGTGTTCGCAATTTGCACCATTGGTCAGTGGGTTGGGTACTTGGGTCTTGGATACGCTAAAGAAAGTTGGAGACATGAAGAGAAGGCTACTAGGTTGCATCGACTTTCTACTTAACCGTGTCGCATGAGGTTGCATCTAGACAAGATATGTGGTTAATTTAGTGAACACTAAAATTTCTTGGAATTATTCCCCTATAAATCAACCTTCTATATTGTGTTTCCGGAAATAGTTTTAAGGTATGCCTCCATTGTTATGTTCGCTCATGTTTTTACTTATCTTTAAGGTAAATTCTGACAGAAATTACTTTAGCATGACCTTTGTTTTTTCATGGTTGCATTCTCACTCTTGCCTGGCACAAATTGTCTTCCACATCGCTGCAATGGTTTAGCCTCCTGTGGACAGGACCCTTGGATCATTTGACCAGCCTAAGTGGTTGGAGATGGAGCCATGCAGCCGTCGTATAAAAAGCTCAAGCTTATTGATTTTTTTGTTTAAATGTGTTGATCAACATCTTTGACTACATGACTGTTGTAGTGGACTCATAAAGCCCTAAATGAAGCCCATGGGTTCCCCTTGAAAATTGCGATACACAGGATTAAAATTCTTACCAACAAGATTACCTGGTTGATTATAAATGATCAAGAAGCTGGTTTATATGATTAGCTTTTTTTTTCTTGCTTACGCTTGGCAAGGGGTTATCCAACCTGACAATCTTATTCTTTGGGAGGTTGGCTATTAGAACTTGCTGATGTAGCACTGATCTTGATCTGATTATGCAGGATGGCACTAGATACTATCAGATTTCAGACAAAAGGTTGTGGTAAAACTTTGTTTTTGATGTAACAGTAGCTGGGCTTTAGAAGGTTATATTCCTACCATGTTCTTGGACCACATATTTCATGTATTAAAATATACTTGTATCTGTTTCTGGACATGCCACAAGTACAAGGTCATCCTACCCCACATTTCTCAGTTTTGTGGCTTATTCTGGTCAGCAACAAGCTCTCTTGTTCATTTTTTAATTTTCTAATATAACAATAGAAGAGGGATCTGTTCATGTTATCATAAATTGTAGGGCCAAGATATCTTTCGTCTTGACACGCGTGTAGGTCTAAATCTGCTTTTGTTTTGGCTCAAGACACCTCGATTGAACCATTAATGACAGAACCAAGTCAACTTGGATTTTTATTCTAATCATAGCATATGAAACCTTTTTGCATTTTGAATGGTTATGATGACCCTGGAGAAGTCGAAAGGCCACCAATGCTCTCTTTATGCATAATATAATCAGAAATAGGTCACCATTTCAGGTTAGCCCAATTTGATGTTGTTTACAATCTAAAAACATCTTGGTGGTTCGTAGAACTAGTTGCTTGTGCACGTATGCACAAGTGACATGTATAATGTTGTTAATGTTCTGTTGCTTGCATGTTCTGCAGCCGGTTTGCTCGAGTCTATCTCCCACCAATATTCTAAACATGCCTCTTATATATTAATAAAACCTCTTATATAGGTCATATTGCTTAGAGAGTGTGGGGCCAAACCCATTTGTCTGAGGTGCAACTGTGTTCAGGGGACCCCGAACTGCTACTGACATGTAACAAGTTCCTCGTACCAGTAAGGGACACAATTTTCTATGGTGGAATTCCCAAGGATAGTTTGCCTACGTAGGTATCTTGACCCTACTACAAGGGAAATTCTATAATGTTAAATCCCCTTCAGAGTGTTGGTCAAGTTAATTTTATAGATAAGTAGTTCTATCTTTCTTTTTCTCTTTTTTGTTTCCAATAACTTTTTCTCTCTTTTAGGATGATCAGAATAGTAATGAACTTTGTTACAATGGCGATGCATGTTAGCTATCCGCTTACCTAATTTATAAAGGTATATATGGAATAAAATTCTACAATAATTGCAAACCTTGAAAGACCAATGATAAAAAATGGAAGATGAAGGATTGAAGGAGACCTTCAAAAGTGTAAAATTGTTTATGTTGAGGGGTACTTGCATATTAATCATTCCAATTTCTAGCAACCATCTGCTCAGTTTTAATGCATCTTCTAACTTAAATTCGGGTCGTTGATGGCAAGGATAAAAGCTTTATGATTCGTGGGTAAGGACTGGTGTACCTTTTTCACCCAAAGCAGTTCACTTCATGTACTGTAGACATTTATATGTTTTGAAGTCACAAACTATCTTACCATAATCTGTAATGCTTTTGACAGGCATGAGCTCTTCGTGTGTAAAGCCCTCGGATAAGGTCTAGAGACGGACAGATTTTTGTGTCAGTGTAATAGGAGAAGAGCTGAACCACCATGAAGAGCGGCTTGAAAACCCTCTGAATGGATCAAATGCATTGCATTAACTTTGTGAAATGTTGCATGTTACTTGGGCGGTTTTTGTAATGCAATTACCAATGTCAACCAGTATGTTGGTTGCCTCAAATTTCTGCTTAGCCATAATGTTGCTTGTAGACGATCTGCTCAGAGATTTTAATTTGTTGTCGCCATAATTTCTTAGAATTATTCCCTTATTGTTAATAGAATTATCCTTCTATATTGTGTTTTGGTAAATAGTTATTAGTTGTAATGGACTTTAGCATCTCTACTGCTTGATTGTTGTAATGGACTCATACACCCCAATAGGAATCCAATTGGGTGCCACTTCTAAGTTGGCACATGCAAATCATCATCATCTTGGTTTCCCTTATTAATTCCAATGGTCAAGAATCTGATCTATATGATAAGACTTCATTTCTTGTATCCTTGAGTTTTATATCATTCTGTAATTGCTTAATATTCTTCCGTATTCATCCTTATGTTACATACACACATGAAGCATCAAAGAACGTGATATCTGCCAAGATAACAAAACCTTTGTAAGCTTGTCAGGATTACCACTCTGACTGATGTAAATAACTAGCTTGGCCTTTAATGACTTCCCGTCATCAACTAACATGTTCTACTTTTGATAGGATTTAGCAGGCTGGGAATAGATGCTTCAAGACTGTGGATGTCAATTCAAATATTGCATTATTTTCCTCCAATGTCGTTGGATCACATATTTGATGAAAACGCATACTTATACCTGATCCTAGACATGCCACAGGTACAAGGTCATCCTAACTTAACATTTCTCAGGGCATGTTTGTTGGCAGCTTGATGAGCTTAATGGAACTCACAACTTATTCGGTCAGCTATACATGATTGTTTGGTAAGTGGCTTAATGATATAGAAAGTGACTTATGCAATAAGCCTCTAGGGGGAGCTTTATGCAGATTGCCAAGTTTTTTCCAAACCTTCCCCTCCCAAACAAAAACCTTCCCAATCCATACGAACAAATTAATCCACACATATAGCTTTATCCATTAAGGACTTAACGGAAAACCAACCAAACACCCCCTCAGTTTTGTGCTTTATACTGGTTACCAGCACACTTCATTTTTTTCAATGCAAGTTCCCCCTTAAATTCTTTTATATGATTTAATATGAAAATGTCAGTCATGCACAAGTTGATGTGTGCCTTATGCTGGTATCTGAAGTGGACCTTTGTCGACCAAAAAGGAAGGGTTCGTACAAAAAAGAACTCAAAATCCAGGTAAATTTCACTTTCCATGTCATCATGAATTGCAGGCCCATATGTCTTTCAAGTTGGCACATGTGTAGCTTCCACTTCTATTTTTGTTTTGGCTTTAGGCACCTCAATCAAGCCATTTCATGACGAAACCATGTCAATTTTGTTTGTTTCTTGTATCTAATTTATAATATGGGAAATTTTTGGGGATGTTGAATGGGTATCTAATGTACCCTGGAGAACCTGAAAGGGCACCATAGATGTCATTTTATCCATAATTTAATTGCAAATAGGTTGTCCTTTCTGGTTATGCTGCTGATGGTTTACAATTAATAAAAAAGATAAATCTGGTTGATTCATTGAACTAGTTTGCTTATTTACGTATGCACAAGTGACATGTTGAACGTTGCTCATTCTTTAAATTCTTTCATGTCATGGTGATGGTTTGTTAATAGCTGTTTAACACGCCTATTTCCCATATATGCCTATTTTGTAAGTGGCATTGCATTTCAAGAACATTCTCAAATGCAAGTTCTTATGGGAACTACAAATTATATTTCTTACACATTAAACAACCAACTGTAATTGGTACGAAAAATCTTATACTGTGTACCAATCAACTATACTTGGCACCAAATTTTCTCGGTTGGTACTGGTTTTGTACCAGCATTGCAAAAGTTGATGCCAAGTTACAATGTTCAATAGTCAAACAACAAAAATTGGAGTTACAATATCAAGTAGTCAATACTTCAAAAACTAATACAAACATTCAAATAATGGCGTGTTTCGTGAGAAACACAAACCAAACAATGTTCAATAGTTGATTAGACTAAGTATAAAAATTAATAATTAAGAAATAAATACTTAATAAAGTCGGTGCAGTAGGATAGTACCATGGTATAGGATTTCTCATACCACATACCAACCTAGTTTACATACTTGGTACGGTAGTAATGTGGTATTCAGTGGTGAAGGTCCATAGGGGCCTTTGGGGGCCATGGGCACGGTGCTTTTTTGTGGGCTTATTAAAAGCCATGTGATTGATTAGTGTTAAAAACAAAACAAAACAAAACAACTTGGCCCTGCAGTTTCACTTTCGAATTTCGATCTCATTCCACTTCCACTTTTTAGATGTAGTTTTTATTTGGTCCACTCCACTTTTTAATCCGGGGATCCACTATCCAACTCCATTACTCTAAATCTAAATGGCTCTCTACCTTGAGTTTGATGTTATTTAGCTTGAGATTTTAATTGATATTAGATTCCAAATTTAATGCTATTATGCTATGACTACTTTAAAATTGTTTGCTTGATTGGTTAATGGAATATGTTAATGAATTATAAATTTATAATGAATCCATTGTATGTGCTTGGTGCTCTTAATTTATGGATCTAGTTATTTAGGGATGATGTGTTTCTTGAATTTCAATATTATATTCACTTTAGGGCTGATTTATCTGACTGTTTGGGCTACTATCCAATGATAATATTTATTGGTTTTATTTGATATGTAGATTAAGATGAAAAATCAAACTCCAATTCATTTTTCAAAAGAAAACATGTTAGTTCTTCTCAAAATCTTGAAAAGACAACAATTTTAGATAGTACTTTTACATCTATGTTTTGTTTGCTGAAAACTCTTCTAAAAAAGCTCAAAAGAGAAAGTATTGATATTGATCCTAGTACTAGAATGAGATCTTGGTTCACGTTCTCAAATTTATGAATATCCTTTTGATCCACAAGACACAATTCAAATTCAATGTCTTGTTTTACAGTTTTATCAAATCAATTAATGTTTTGTTTAAAGTTTTAATACCTTATAGCTTTTTTGTGTTTTTAAAAATATATAAGAGATTAGGTCCTCCCCTATGGTTATAAGGCTTGTGCTCCGCTGTTGGTGGTATAGGATTTCTCATACCACATACCAACCAAGTTTACATACTTTGTATGGTAGTACCACCCAACTTCAGTTGGTACCAACTTAATTCGTACGATTCGTATGCATGTTGGTTGGTTTGACTCAACGCGAATTGGTACCCCTGGTAAAAGATATGTTGCGAGGTTTGGTATGGTGGAATTCTTGAGGTTAGATTGCGCATGATGGTCTCTTCACCTACAAGGCAAATTCTATGATGTTATTTTCGCCAACATTTATTGTTGTTGTAGATTTTTTAACTTCATAACATTGCTACTTGGTTTTATCCTGTCTCTTGACCCTCAAGGCAATCAAATTAATATCTCAGTTTGAGTAGTTTCGTTTGCATTGTTCCGTTTTAATAAAATAACTAATGAACATTGATAGCTTTGTATGGTGAGATTTGCAATTCAACTATCTACTGGTCTAATCTAGAAGAATAAGAGCATCTCCAACAGATTCTCGTAAACTTTCTCCAAAATGGAGAGAAGAGGATAGAAGAAAAAAATCTCCAAATTTGGAGAACCTCTAAAATTAAATGTTAGAGGAGAGAGAATACATTAATTATTTTTTATTCTTCCCACAGAAAAGCGTGCCAAGGGTTGGCTTCACGTGAGACCAACCTGTTTTCGTGAGACCACAAAATAACAGTGAACCTTCATAGCAAAACATTGTGAAGGTACAAAAAACAATGAACCTTCACAGCAAAAGCATTGTGAAGGTTTATGTTCAGTGTTATTTTTGTGGTTTCACAGGTTTCACGAAAACCTACTGGTCTCACATGATCCCAAGTCAGCGCGCCAAATCTGCCAAAAGAATCTCCCTTCCCTTTTCTCTTTTGCAAGACTATTTCTAATCTCTTTGCTCTATTTGTTTTCATCACTCGAGGTATCCGTCCATGGAATTAAACCAGCTATGAATCAAATTTCTTTTTCTTTTTCTACTTTAACATTTTATAGAAAGTTTGTTGAAAATTACCATTTTATATATATCTATTTGAAAGTTTGTTGGGTATTAAGTGTATTGAATATTTTAATAATATTAAATTGTTGGAGCTGCTCTAAGGGTGAAGACGAATGAAGTTATACGGTAATTGGAATTTGTGTTAACTGTTAAATCTATTTTGTAATGCGTATGATGGAACCTTAAAGAAACTACTTTTTTAATAGTGTAAAGATGTATATTTGGGAGTTTCACAGTAAGTATTCCATCTATTTTATAAAACTTGCTATGTTTGATTATAAGAAAACTATCTATTAAACTGTTTATTGCAGTTTTTATGTCATTAAAGGAGCGTGAACTATGGGGACAGATGTTGTTTGGCATCCTTGGACACCTGGTGAGTATATAAATAGGCATACTATTAAAATATGTTTCCTCCAACACCTACCATTAAATAAATCGTCCTAGAAATAATGCTTAAAGAAATATATGATGATGTTTTGTTTCCAATTTTGATGATTGTGTGCACTTCCAAATCCTGGGATTGAACTGACTTTTACTTCTGTAGATTCTACCTCCTATTTTTAGAGAGGATCTGATTTCCTGCTATTGCCTTTGAATACTTCACATGGGGTACACATGGCTCCCACTTCTCTCCATCTGAACTTGATGTTTGTTGCAAAGGAATTGGTGATAGAACCATAAAAGTAGAATAGTTATTTTAATTAGTTGATCTCTACGTGTAGGAGAACCTGTTAGGTCAATCCCAAATGCCTAAACTTAGAAAACTCGGTTAACCGCCTAGCCTAGTCATGAGAAAGAGAATAAATGGCTCGAATGTTGGAATCATATTCTTCTACCCTTATTTTAGAAATATTTTTCTTTCTTTTTAAAGATTTTGTTTGTGATTAGATGGTAAGTTTATCCTTTGTATATTGCTATATATAATTTCTTTCTTCTTGTCATGTTCAAATTTTAAACTCTTTTGTCTTAGTTTTTCTATCTCATAGAAAATTTACAATTTATTATGTTTGTGTATTTGTTAACTAAACGTCTTTATT